GAGCGAAAGACTTTGAGGTCCAGTTTGTCATCGCAGAAGGGGACCGTGCGCTGCGTCGTTGCTGCCGTGTGTGCAGAGGTGGGCTTGAAGAGCGCCGCGAGCTCTACGTCGGGAGCAAAAGCGCCTTGAATGGACGCAAGGGCCAAAATGTCCAGGATTGGGCACATGATGGGCTCGCGCGTGTCCCAGACAAAGACATTGGCCTTGTATGCGCCGCTGCCGTTGTTCGTCTTGCCCTTCAGGTTGTGGAACTTGATCCTGGCCATGAGATCAAACCTTGATGTTCCGTCCTGATCCTGTGAGGCGCGCCTGATGAGCTCTACATCGCGCCAGCACAAACCTTCGCAATCTGACTCGCTCAGGAGCAGCTCGCCTGGCCGAGACGCAGAAAAGGTCATTATCTTGAGCATGCCGGTGAATGAATAACGCTGTGCAAGCGACGACCAGTTGTATGCTGGATCATACACTTGCATCAGCACGGCCCGCATGTCGACAGCTGTGGCAACTGGTTTGTGACGCGCAGCTGTTGTCAGTCCAAGCTCCTGTGCCAGATCAGTGGTGATATACGTCGTCAGCTGGGTGAACTGGGCTGCGTCGATTGTGCGGGTGCCAGTGTGCCGCAAATGCGCAGATAGGGCGGAGTGGGTGAATGACACTGCTGTGCGCACAGAGATTGGAGGCAGGGACGCTGCAGAAGAACTGGCACCAAGAGGTCCAGGATGCCCCACAGCTTGCCCAGCATACCATCGCGCAAACCCTTTCCAACGGCCAAGGGTGATTGGATTGGCCGGGAGCTCAGAGCCGTACTCCCTGAAGAAATCCTCCCAATCTGGTAATTCGAGGGCAGTCTTGAAGTACTCCTTTAGTTTCTTGAGGCACACCTCGTGTGTCTTCTCCGTCTTGGGACGGAGGGCCTGCAGAGATCTTGATTGCTCAAGGATCGCCTCTTGAGCAAGCAAGCTTGCAGCGTCGGTAGAAAAGGCGCGCTGAGCAGCAGCCTGGGCCGCCTTCTCGGCGCGCCTTTGAGTACGGCGATCAGAAGACATGCTATTCACATTGGGGCAAGGGGAGGGTGGAAAGGTGCGTTCAGTGGGGGAGGGGTTGAAAGTGTGTCAGCAAGCGTCAGCAATGCGAGTGGGGTTGCGTGTTTCCAAGCAGCATACGTACACAACTGGCTGACCGAGAAACGAAACGCTGTGCGGGTCCTCTCTTGGGGCTGACGAGGGAGGAGACTTGGTCTGGCAAGAGCGCAGAAGAAGGGCACGTCTGAGAGGGGGTGTTGGGTGGCAGGATAGCTTGAGCACGAGGCTTTGATGCAGAGCTTCTTGATGTCGTAGATCTTATCTCGGGAAGGTACGAGCGAGGATCACAAGAAGGTATGAAGGAAAGGAGAGGGAGCGCTACGTAGAAGCCAAATGGAGCAGGCATTGTGACTTGTTGGCATCAGCGGGGGCGAATTGCCAGGGGCGATGCTGCTTCCAGCAGCAGTAGGGACACCACGTAGCGCAGTGCAATCTACAGTGGGAGCTGGGAGGTGCAGCACGCCTGGTTCAGCAAAGAAGAAAGCAGCGAGCATAGTGCTGCAGACTGGCCCGCGCGCAACGGTGACCGCGGTGGGTAGGAGAGTGGACATGTGAGGCGGTGCGGCCGTGCGTGCGTGCGTGCGTGCGTGCGCGCGCGCTCTCCCTTCCTCTCACCTTGGTCAGAGCGTGGGTCCATGTGCAGGCAGGTGAAGGACGCACTGGGGCGCTCCATGGACTGGCAGGACCCGTACAAGGGGTTGGGCCATGCTGGACGCGCAGATGCAAATCTTGCCCTCGACCGTACCTTGCTTGCGAGTCCAGCTCGCATTGAGCACATTGCGACAGCATCGCAA